GCGGCGATAACGCCGCGAAACATCACTCCGCAGAAATATATTTTACCTGATACGAAACGACCCAGCAAACCGAAGAAATCCCGCTCTCGTCCTTTTTTTCTATCTAATTTCCATATGCCAATCTTTACGTTTACCCTTTATAGTTAATTTATAATGTAGATGCAAGAACGTGTGATGTATAGGTTGTTTAACACTTACAATACGGCGCTTTTGTACGAAAGAGTAAAAAAATAAATAAGATGAAATAAAAATACGCGTTGTTCAGACCAGACGGCCTTGTGTAATTGCTAAGACATCTTTAACCAGTGAGCGCCGGCCGCGGTCATATCCTAAATAACCCCCACTTGACATGCTTACGGCTATTTTGCAAAACATTACCATTGCAGGGATGCCTATAAATAGGCCTACCACATTCTAATCTGGGACGAAAGAAAAATACAAACAATAACAACAAAACAAACTGAATCTGTCGCAGAGTCCGTCGTGATGCGTGAATCATATTGATATTTAACTTGTTCGGTATCCTCGTTGCAGAAGAATTTTAGCGGTAGCTCACGAGAGTGGCAATAAATTAGGATTGCGTGTTTGTATGCTCGCGGGTGGTGCTTGTTTGGACAAGGACATAAATCATCGAGGATATTGTGGTATGGTATGGTGGTGTGTCGTGGAGCGGCGGCGACATCCGTTTATGCATTTAGAAATGGCATGTGTCAGGATGTAATAAGAGGTGTAAGGATACGCGTGTGAATGCGCCGGAGGTTCGGCTGGATCGATTCTACTGTTTGCGAAGACGATTCATTAGGCGCGAGGCTCGCATAATGCGAGTCCTTTCTCTTGTTACTCGCCGAGCGCGATTTCTCATACGCGGCCGCCGGCCAACCAAACCTAACCAATCCTTACCACCACCGAGCCAATATTCGTTCCAAGGAACTCATTGCGAAACAAATGGGTTTCCTCCGCGGAAAGGTTTCGCTGCACCATATACAGAGCTGCACTGTTGGGAATAATGACGGAGCGTTCTCTGCAGGAAAGACTATTAGAAAGGAGACGGTGATGATGACGGCTATGACGACGACAATGGTAGCGAAATAGCAACCTCGGCCGGGTGTTTTTCGTTTCGCAACTGCTCCGCACCCACTCGACTCGTTGCATTGTTCACCTCCCAGCCGATAGTTCACAGTTTCTAATTAGATCAAACTTCCATAACAATATCACGCGCAATAAATAAAATGATACCTCGCGTATGTCTTATGCTTCGATCTAATTAGCGTTATGCAAATGGCGACTTTCACTGTCTCCTCCGTCGTGCACCTCGAAGGTGGGTACAGCGACCAAGAAAACAATTGCCTCGTTTCGGCGATACGGATGGCCGATGGCCCTTCTGCCACACCGATTCAATGCTAATGAAATTCTCCTCCGGATGTAAATCCGGACTACTTACCGGAAGCCGTCGAAACCATCGTCGGATCCGTTCACCGTAAGAACGGGTGCTCGGGCGTAAGCCTTCGCCACCCTCCGGTTCCTCTCCAGCACGATCACTTTCGCCCAGATCTCGTCGTCGATCTGCGTCCATTTGTCCAGCACTTCCTGGATGTGGTCCTGCAACAAGTAAACAAAACCGATCATCACCACCCTTGCAAAACAGTTAATCAGTCGCGCGACATGACCCATTAATCATCGCCTCCAATGGAACGGCAACGCCATTCGATTTGTCTCTCGCCCGGAGGATAATTGCAATTGTTGCTCCGGAGGGGCACGCGGTAGTCTTTCGAATTAGCCACGGTGGAATTAGCGTGAGCAGCGAGGCTTTAATTTGTCGTATCCTTGGCACGAAAAACAAAAACAAAAATGGAAAGAAAACAAAAACAAACGAAAACAACGAGGCGAGACATTTAAGTTGACGACGATGCTCTCCATGGAAATGGCAAGAAACCATTGAAACCCGAGTATTAGAGGTCGCGAACAAAGGACGTCGGACGGAAACAGAGTTGCAGTGATTTTCCTTTCCATTAAATGGAATTCCTCGCCGCCTCCCAAATCAAGCGATCGCCGCGAGAAACTGGAAACTTTAATTGTGCCCCAGAGTTTCGTAGGTGGTTTTCAAATTTAAAACCGCTAGCGTTTTCTCTTGTATAGTATCGGTGAATCTGCACTGTCCATTTTTGTAGGTCGTTTATTATTTTCGTCTCCTTCGCTCCATTTTCCTCCTTATTTACTGCCACAGCAATGACTCGCCAAGATACAGCATCTGCATCAGCTGGCTTTCAATGATTTCATTATAATGTACAATCCAATTTATTTGAAATATTAGCAATTGTCTTTCGTTATGTTCGATTCGGGATAGCGGGCTGCAAGGACGACGCGTCCTGTCGCACGCTGAACGAGTGTGCCATGCACATAGTCCCCGGAAAGCCTGCATCCCTCAATAACTATTTAATTAGTTTCCTTATTTGAAACCAAAATCGTTTTCTTTTTTCTTCATTATTTCCATTTACAAATTATAATTATCCTTTATAATATATTTAAAATGATGGTGGATGTGTATGATAAAAGGTTATTCAATTTCAATTACAATCTGCGATACGATCATAAGTATAATACAAAGTATAACAATTTGCGGTTTTTATCTCACCTACCTATCTGCCGAGTAATTTATTATTCGCATGTTTTATTCTTAGCCGAGAGACACCATCTGCTGCTACCACAAATTACAAATATCCATAAGAAACAATACAGTTAATTATCGAATTTGTATATTATACGCAAATGTGTAATGTCCATAAGAAATCCAACACTTTTTTTTTATTTCAAGAACTAATAATTAAATTTCAATTTCAGCTACAACCCACAATACAATTCAAATAATAATATATACAAGATATAAGAATTTGCGGTTTTTATTTCAGCCAAGTAATTCATTGTTCGTATTTTCTATTCCGAATTGATGAACTTTAAATTGTGATCATAGGTTTCGACGCCTAAACCACACACCAAACCAATTGTAAATCGCACAAAGCAGCGATTGATTTACTTCGATTATTCGTTTCCTTCTCTTCCCACTTATTTATTACTCTTTTTATTTTGTATCCCTATACGTACGATCTTCGCGCTGCGTTTTTCTTTTCTTTTTCAGAACCCTCGTCATTTACATTTAATTGAATACATTCCGGCCATCGGTGTGGCTGTCGTTTTTCTTTTCGCATAATGCATCCAAATTGAATGACTCAGGAAGATGCGATTAGAGCGGATACAATAACAAGGCCCGGCAACGAAATCGTTTGCGGTCCAAGATTGATGATCGCATCTACTTTCGATGGCGCAAAACAAATTCCTCGGCCAACTGAAAATCGCACCCAACCGCGATATGAAGATATGAAGAATGGAAAGTCAGAACATCTTCAATCTAATATAAATTTAATTTTGAAATAAAATATTTTTGTATTGAAAGAAGTTAAATGGAATGGTTTTCTTTGCATCAAAGTTTTTAAGAATATGCGTTTTATGTAATTGAATGTCTCCATTCTTGCAGAATAATTGGTTCTCGCAGGTAGAGCAGACGGAACTGGGTCCATACTCTCCGTTCACCAGTGAAAGTTCCACTCGTGCTCGGCTTGTACGAGATACATTTCACCGCTGATCGCTTTACGTAATCGCAGAAAAGGAAACACCCTGTAGATAAGCGCGCAACGCGGGGTATCGATACGAAAGGAGGAACCAGTTTGGAAAACATTTTGTATGATCTCAAGTAGTTTGTCATGAAAATGTAAATAAAATATATTTATACTCTTTACGCGTATGCTCATATACATAAACGTATGTACATATTATTCCTGCGCGCATTTTTTTTCCGCTCATTTTATTCTTCCTCTGCTTCTTCGGAGCTCTCGGCTCTTGATTCTCCTCGTCGCTCCCTCTTTCTCTCACTCTTTGCGCGTCCGTTTTTTCCCCTCTCGTTTCGTTGTTTGTTGTTGTTGTTTTCTATTTGCCTCCACTCTGTCGTTTCTTTGTTGCAAGTTTAATCTGACAAGTAGCTTTATGCTACGGCTACGCTTATGTACGATGTAATTAAATTCTGAAACGAACACACCAAAAAAAAAAATTATATATATCACGGTCTTTTTTGTTGTTTCGCCCTGCATTTGTAGCCGTAGCCAAAGTAGCATTCGTAACGGTCGTGTAATTAGAATGCGGAAGTGGTTACAGTTCCAAATACATTTTCTACACGCTCGATTCCGTTTCGAAAATTTTCCAAATGCCCGTGTTAAACAGAGCGTTCGATCCGTGGATTGATGGCATAGGTATCATAAGGAGTTGGATGTGATACAAGGAGGTCCGGTGGCCGTTCTGGCTCGAAGATTCGCCCCAGAAACTGCGAATTTGCTTTGCTGTTTGTAGAATGTGCAAGGCCGTTGCCGTAACGGAAAAGATGCCGCGAGCCGACGTAACACAGCGCATTGTTTGCATCACACGCATTCAATCGGATGCAGCAAGTGCACGTACGAACACCCTAATTAAACACCTGGTAATTGGACCTGGTTATACTTTGGTTTCAACGCGTCGGCGAGGGAAATGGACTGGGGATGCGAAAGACACCCCATGCGGCTTGATATGTTACGACTGTGCGCATGTTTACGATCTCATGACTTTTAATTGAAAACATTAGTTGCATCAAACTGTTTTAGGGCTCAATAAATTCCATTGATGGCCTAGGTAACGCAAATGGATTATTTACGGCCGCGGATAGAAAATAAAACGCGAGATTACGTCCGAACCGATGTAGCTTATTATTTACACGCAGAAGATGCATTGTCCGTATGCAAATCGCACCTTTTAGCATGATTAATCGCTTTTCGGGATTTGTTACGAAGCCGGACAACGGTACTACTTGGATAAAAATAATAAAGCCATTGCCCAAGATGCCCTCCTCGAACTTCTAAGCCGGAGGAGTGCTCATACTTTAACCAAATTTATATACAAAAGCTTACCTTAATCAAAAAATAGTCTTAAACCAGATCACCAATTTATAATTAGTCTGCGGAATTACAGAAATCGTGACAACTTCATTCTCTTCATTGACACTTCCTTCCATACTTCATTCTCTCCATTGACACTTCCTTCTTTACCTTCATAACTTGTGTATGAACAATGTAAACAAGATATCAATGAAATGGAAATACCTCTTAATTATTGATTTTCTGTATGCCTACAAGCTTTGAATAGATGCACAATTTCACTTTGTTTCAGGTCGAAGGGTGTTTATTCTTTGAAACAATAAGATTTAGTTGATTTATATGAGTCGAGCTGCGTTGCCGAACATTTCCTTACTACACGTAGGGCTTTTATTTGCAGCGGAAAAAACATACACGGGGTCACCGAAATGGCAATACAGCATGTTGAGTAATCTTAAGAAAGCGTTGTTTACTAAAACAACGCGATTGTTTAGAGAACGCAATCGATAATATGCAACGCGAGAGAAAATTCGTACAAATAAATGTGATTATCAAACATAGACTAAACAATCACAAGCGGAAAAGTAAAGACAAACTATAATCAATTGTTGTTTCTATGTACATTTTATTAACTTGTACATATTTAAGCGCATGATGATTGAGATTGGCATTAATGGAACATAATATATAACAAACACATTTTATTTAAAAATTACAGAAAAGATGTCTAAAATACATGGTTAAATAACGTACTTGTTTTCTTTTACTAATAGTAGACATAGTTTATTTTTTCTTCTTCTCATTCTGTCAATTCCACCGACTTTAATTCAGAAAATGGGATTTCAATATCGGCTGATCCGAATTCGTTCTTCTGGTGAAGCGTAAGGCTTGTTTTCTTAACTTGAGTCATGTACCCTTCGGTTTTAAACCCTTTAGAATATTCCACTAATATTTTCACAGCGCGTTTCTGCTCCTTTGAGCTCCCTGCTCTATCAGCCATTGTTCTACAGGCACAACAAAAATATCATTTAAAGCAAGCATCTACAGAAATGTTCGTGGTTATATAATAAATACCTGGATAGCTGATTAATGTCCGATAGACTAATTATCGCCTTTGAGGAAGAGTGTTCTGAAGAACTTTGCTTTGTTTTAACTCCAAAGGAATTCGCGATACTGTTCTAATTTCAATTATTTGAAAGAGTACGATTTTTACTGATAAATGAGCCATGTTGCCTAATTACACTTGCACTTGAAAAATGGCAATATTGCATTTCATAAAAAATACAACCCTCTTCTATCCAGAGGAATCAGAAAGTATAAAAAATTTAAGATCAAATACTTGGATAATGAATTTTGTAATTTATTTGCAATGATAATATAGAAAATAATATTGATTTTATAAAATAAAATTGAGTTCGAATAAAAAAGAAATCAATTTAGTGAAAAATCCCTACCCTATTGGATTTTTCCCTAGTCTTATAAGAATCAGTAAAAATATATATTTAAATTTGTTTTTTTTTTTAAATTTATTTAATAGAATTTGAAGTAACAAACAAAATACACAGCGACATCTCCAAACAAGACGCAAAGGTGATTATGAGAAGATGTGTTGCATATGGAATTTGGTGATTGAAGGGATTACGTAAGAAA